GGTGTTCATCCGACTGAGTTTGTTGACTAAGCCCGAGTAGATTATCAGCAGGCTTACTGCATCTTGACGACGCATGAAGCATTTCTGTTTTCCAGAGTCCTTGTAGGGACAGACCGCTTCGACTACAGCTTTATGCCGAACGTATATGCAGAGTCGTCCAAAGCGGCTGAGTTGCTCCGTTCTAGGCAGCCTGAAACGTGCTGTGGAAAGTGGCTTCGTCTCACCGCCACATACGTCGCGTGGAGGCAATTGCGTGACCTGCAATCTGTGCAAGGCTTTCCAACGTACTTCACGGTGCCTTCACAGCTAGTTCGTAGCTGCTCTTGGCAGAGCTAGAAGTCACTCCTTGAGCAGGTTATGTTTGTCTCAGGCGTAGCAATGGCACAGCCCGACGAAGACCTTCTCCATAGCCTCCAGCCCACTTGATGGTTTGCGTGGAGTCTCAGATCCATTGATGATTCTTGGACCTTGAAGGTGTACTTGGCGCTGTTAGCATCTGCTGGAACAGTGCGAAGTTTGTAGGTGGTAGCGCGAGAATCGTCGATTTCGCATTCATCGTCGAGGTCGATGAGAGGAAGGATTGGTTTGTCGCGCAGCTTAGACTCGAAGCTGGTGTACGCGTCTTTGGCAATCTTCATGGTGAGGAATAGGTTGAGGGTAGCTGAAAGCTATTGTGTTTGTTAACAAAATGCACTACGCTAAAAGCTAGTGTAAAGATCTTTCGAGTGTTTTGAGTTTGAGAGAATGAAAGTTATGAGAGGATTAGAAAGCTATGAAAACTAATCAACGAGAGAGATCCACAATCAAAGGATCGTAGATCTGAACTCCCGCGGGAGACTGTAAAGTGTGATAGAGTAGGTTGCGGTAGCAATCCTACTCACTCCACGATCCAAAAACGGAACGCGTGGAAGATTCGTCTAGCATTTATCTAGTAGCGTGGAATCTCTCCACGCCAGCTAAATATCTAGCGCGATGTTTCACCATCGACCTAGTATGACTAGCGGTCATGAGAACCCTGTCTCAATGACTATTCACGAAAGACTCAGTCATGAGTCGAACTCAAACCCTATCTAGGATCGAGTCGCGAATAAGGCTAAGAGCTGTGTATTGCAGTGGAGCAGAACGAACAGAGAGGAGGGTCTCTTGGAGGCTTCTCTTGCTGTGGATTGTGAGGGAGGTTTGGCTGTGGATTCATCATTCATCATACTGAATCCAAAACTCAATTTTCCTACTCTCAAATGATGTTCTTCATGCAGACCCGTATCTCAATTGCCCTTGTGAAAGCTACCCATCTATGTCTCCGTGGATCTCGCAAAGCCAAACCCTTCTGCCCCCGTAACGGTCCTCACTTTCTTGCCCCTGATCCCACAGAACCTAGTCCTGAATTTCGCCTGTTCTTTGCTTAAGCCTGGCCCCGGCTGGCTTCCGTAGATACTTACCCTACTCTAAACCCCCCCTTAATTCGACGACGATATCTTGTTGCCTCGCGGTACGAATCAAGCAGCAGAGTTGTCAAAAATGTTCCGGCTGCGGTTTTCAACGCGAGCTCCTGCGTCGTACAGTCGTACCGGTACGGATATGTTACGGGACGATGCGGTAGGTATTCTGCTGCTTGTGTTGCTCTACCGGTAGCTAGTAGCAGTTTCACAAGTGGTGGTAAAATGGAACCACAAGATATTGGTACCAGTAAAGATTTTCTAAATGTAAGCCCACCGAGAAATGTTGTGCGGGGTTCACGGAATGGTTGTAGATTGAGTACGTTTGTACACGCATGTTTTGCATGATTGCTTCAGTCGCTGAACGGAATTCCCGCCGCCGCCAAGCGTTCCTCGTAGGTCTTTTGTTTCTTTTCCTCTTGCGGTTCTTCCTCTTCCGCTTCACCTTCTTCTTCCAGTGCTACCACAGCCGTCACTTCGGGCACATAGTGCTGCAACATATTTTCCACGCCCTGTTTCAATGTGACACTGGAGGAAGGGCAACCAACACAGGAACCTGCCAGTTCCACCGTACAGAGTCCAGTTTCCTCCTCGAAACTGACATATCGGATATCGCCACCATCCTCTTGCACTGCCCATGTAAATCCAATTAAAAATGTGTTAGAACATGGAATAAATAGAGTTGTAGAAATCAATGCAAACATAGCATGCACATACCTGCCGGTCGAATTCTGGATTCAATCAATTCCTTGATCATGGCCACTATTTCATCGTCGTCGTCGAGAATGGTGGTGTCAATAAATTCGGGTTGATCGAGGAGTGC